AGCTGCAAGAGGCAGCCGGGAGGCTCTGGCCAGACTGTGGCCTTGGGGAGACCCCGGGAGCACCTGAGCAAGGCCACTCCGACAGCCCCGTGCCCCACCAGAGCTCCCCAGCCCCTTTTAGGATACACCTGGTGCTTCAACAAGTGTTTTCTTTTCGATTTCCTCATCTTCGTCTTCTCAGAGAAGGCTCTGGCGAGTTCAAACAGCTTCTTGCGCGTGGCTGGAAGGAAGCAGCCGAGTGAAGGTCTCACCCCAAAACCCTTCCCAAAGCTGCCACAGGTGATGGGGAGGAGATGGCCAGGGTCAGCGGTGCGAGAGCCACCTGCACCCCGACACCCTACGGTGATGCCCCAGCTTTGCCTGGAAACACCAGGGCTGCACAAGGCTGCCAGGCTTGGAGAGCAGGGTCCTGCGACCAACAGGGACACGCTGGGCCCTAGCAGGTATTGATGTTTTTACCCTTTCACTGGGATTTTCGTGACCTTCCCTACCCACAACAGACCCACACCTCCCGAGTGTCTCAGCTGACTGCAGCTCGACTCAAGCTACCCAAAGACCTCGGTCTATTTTGCGACGGGAGAAGTGGGCTGTGACTTGCCAAGATGAAAGGATTGGGAAAGGGAGAGTTACAGCAAACCCTCAGCGTGCTTTTCTAGGATTCGCACAAACCCTGCCCAGAAATTCCTGTACTCCCCACCACCACCTGCATCCTTGACTCACACCACAACCCATGGGTGCACCAGGGACAGAGAGACAGTGCAGAGCTGGGCCATCAAGACCCAGGTCTCCGTCTCCTGTCCGTCGTGCTGGCACCCAGCCCCGGCCTGCGGCACAGGAGCTCCTTGCTGCCGGTGAGGGCCAGGAGGAGAGCACCGCAGGGTGGGGATGCACCAGGCCAGGACTGTAAAATGCAGACAGAAACTCAACCCCAAAGCGCTGCTGCCGCAGCTGAGCACCGTCTTAGCATAACGTGCCACCGCAGCGTGCGATGGCCTGTGCCCTGCGCGCCGCTGTGCCAGCCCTCTGTGTGACTCCCAGGGTAACAGGGATGCGTGTGCCCAGCTGCCAAGAGAGGTGACAAGAAACCTCCACGCACACGTGCTGGCAGGCACGCGTGTACCGGCCGATGTGCACACACAGGCACGTGCACGCAGAGCAGACATGCTGCGTGAGCTGGGAGCACCGTGGTGTTTTGGCAAGCACCAGGCCATGCTGCCGGCTCTTCCCCTGCCCGCCCCACTCCCACCTCCCCTCCAACCCTCGCAGGTGTCCCGCTGCCAACACGGAGCCTGCAAACCAACTCACATTTTCCCATGTGTTTCAATTTGTCTCTGAATAAGGCATCGTCAGACACGGCACCGCCGTCCTCACTGGTTACAGAGGGGGCTACATCACCTGGAAGGCAAACATCTGGTCACCGGGAGTGCGGGAGCAGCGAGGGGAGGCTCGAGACAAATCATTTCCATGACCCAATTCCAGCGCTAGCAAAGCACAGCCCTGACATGAGCAGAGCTGAGCAAGAGCAGGCAGGACGAGGGCACTGCCATGCCGGGCCTGGCTCTGGACGAGGACCCTCTGCAGATATAACCCCTGAGACTGTGGCTTGCAACACACCCCCAGCCCCACGGGGCCACTCACCTTGAGCCACCTGCGATCGGACGTGGGGTGAGCAGCGGCTCAGTCCCACCACCAGCACGGCTGCAGAGCAGGGGGCCTCCCTCTGTGCTGCTCCAGGGACAGCAGCCCCAAATTACCCCGGGCACTAATTGCACTCCAGGGATTAGGTCATGCCCATGCTATGCTCAGTACCCAGGATGGCAAGGCCACCGGATCAGGAGCAGAAGGTGGACCAGAGCCCCCAACAGCCATGTCCTCGTGCCTACCTGGGCCCATGCCCCTTCCCCAGGTCTGGGTGCCCTCGAAGCGCCGTGCGCCCAGCCGGAGCTCTGCCACACCGCCCAGCCGCTGCGTCTCGCCCGCCCCCGCACAAGGCCATCGACAGACACCAGCTCTAATTCTGACCCTGGGCAGCTGCTCCGCTCGCCGAGGTTAATCAGGATTACCCGGGAACAGTCCTTATGCCTCCCAGGCACAATCCTCCACGTGGGGAGGGCAGCAGCACCCATCCCCATCACCCACCAGCTCCTCTCCCGTGCTGGGGGGACCGCAGGGAGGGATCGGCCAGTTTCCCCCCCCCGCAGTCACTTCAGAGGCAGCTGGGCAGAGGGCTGGGAATGCAGGAGCTGTGGGGCATCCGGCTGCTGAGAAGCGATGCTCTCGTGCTCTTGAAAGTTACCTGATATTACGGAGGAGGAACCAAAGTCATTGCTGACAGCAACACTGGTCGACTTGGATTTTTTTGACTCATATTTCAATCGATCTGAAAAACAAAAAGCCCGGCGCCCAGCTCGATCAGACCGTCAAGGCAGCACACGCAGCTCCACTCCCCTCTCCACTCATGGCCCCCACGGCTGCGGGGGGCCACGGCGGAGGGCAAGCGGGGCTTCAGCACGGCGACCACAAGCACTTCGGTAGGAGCCCACAACAGCAGGCGGGAGCGCTCCTCTCACCGCAGCAGAGGAATTGCCTGCCTGCCGCAAGCACGCAGCGAGCACACTGGTGGTTTTCCAGCCGCGGCGGCCGGGAGCGAGCCCTGCAGTGACAGTGCTGCCAGGACCCTGCAAACCACCAGCGAGACCGCTGAGGGAGACAGCCCCTTGGCCGGAGGGCTCGAAGCTGGCGGCAGTGCGAGGAAGGGCAAGGGCAGCTCTTTGCTCAGTGGCAGCGAAATCACTGACACCCTCGAGCCCTCCCCGCGGCGCTGGGCAAGCAGCCGGGTGCTGGCTCGCCGGGAAGGAGCATGGTGGCAGGGAAGGAGCAATCATGGCAAAACTGGCCCCCAGTTCAGGCCCTGCCAGCTCCTGGGGAGGGCACACAGCTGGGGAGGGTGCACCAGCCGGGCTGGGCTCAGAGGGCATTTCTGAGGCTCCTTGCTATGGATTTTGCTGGGCATTGCCAAAGACACGGCAGAGAGGTGGGCAGGGTGATGAGAGCCTTGTGGCAGGCGGCCGAGCACCAGGAGCAGGAGCCTGGGGAGCAGCCCACTGCCCAGGGTCAGTGGGTAAGACCACCTGCCCCCAGCCTGGCCGCATCCTGCACTGGCTCTGCTTTGGTACGAGCTGTGATGCCACGGGCAGGGCGATGCTGTCGGCAGCCAGTGACACAGGGGGGCACGCACCCGGAAAGTAGAGGCAGGGGTTTCTGAAGGTGCTTCTCACCTCTCTCCAGGGCAAGGAGGAAATCCCGGTTCCTCTGGAGCTCCTTCATGAACTCTTCGTTCTGCAGGAAGAGCGCGATCCGCTCGTCCTCCAGGTACTGCTTCCACCGCCGCTCCTGCTCCAGGGAGCCCTGGCCCCGCGG